CGAGATATTTGAGGAAATATGAATATCGGGACTCGAAAAGAGGCAATTTTGAGTTACAATGTAAAGAGACTTTTTCGTTGATCGTCTTGATTTCTATCGAATTTCGGGCGAAAAACATACACTTGTCACTCACTTCGAAAACATCAGTCTGCACACTGTATCTCTGTCATCACACATGGATACCTTTGAAGCATATCAGTTCGCATCTAACTTATAAGACGACATCGAAGCGCGGATAACGTACACAACAGGCAGAACAAGAAACTTCGACTTCGACTATGTTCACACTGTACCTTTGCATTCTAGCATCTGACATGCCCACAGTCATAGCAGATACGATCGCACTGACCATAGACGACTGGCCAAAGAAGACTTTGAAGGACTTTGATGGACCTATAACGAGAACAATAGGCAAGTGAAGAAACTACGAAAATTTCAGTCTGCACACTGTATATCTGTATTCTATCATCTCACATGGATACCTTTGGAGCATAACAGTTCACAAAGATCATATGAGACGACATCGAAGCGGGTATAACGCATACAACAGGCAGAACAAGAAACTTCGACTCCGACTATGTTTACACTGTACACTGCATTCTAGCATCTGACATGACTACTGCTATAGCAGATACGATTGCACTGACCATATAAGACGACTCCAAAGGACATATAACGAGAACATTACAGAACTATCTCCACTTGCCTATTGTTCTCGTTATATGTCTTTCAAAGTCGTCTTCTTTGGTCAGTGCGATCGTATCTGCTATAGCTTCAGGCATGTCAGATGCTGGAATGCTGAATTCCAGTGTAAACATAGTCGAAGTCGAAGTTTCTTGTTCTGCCTGTTGTGTGCGTTACACCGGCTTCGATGTCGTCTTATGAGATCGTTGCGAACATATATGCTCCAGAGGTATCTATGTGAGATGATAGAATACAGAGATACGGTATGCGGACTGATGTTGTCGAAGTATCTCCACTTGCCTATTGTTCTCGTTATATGTCCTTCGAAGTCGTCTTATATGGTCAGTGCGATCGTATCTGCTATAGCTCTAGGAATGTCAGATGCTAGAATGCAGAGGTACAGTGTAAACATAGTCGAAGTCAAAGTTTCACCTTCTGCCTGTTGTGTGCGTTATACCCGCTTCGATGCCATCTCATATGATCGTTGCGAACTGATATGCTCCAAAGGATTCCATGTAAGATGATAAAATATAGAGATACAATGTGCGGACTGAAGTTTTCGAAGTATCTTCACTTGCTTTTTGTTCCCATCATGAGTCCTTCAAAGTCGTCTTATATGGTCAGTGCGATCGTATTTGCTATAACTGTAGGCATGTCAGATGCTAGAATGCGAAGTTACAGTGTAAACATAGTCGAAGTCAAAGTTTCTTGTTCTGCCTGTTGTGTGCGTTATACCCGCTTCGATGTCGTCTCATATGATCGTTGCAAATTTTTATGCTCCAGAGGTATCTATGTGAGATGATATAAAACAGAGGAACAGTGTGCAGACTGATGTTGTCGAAGTATCTCACTTGCCTATTGTTCTCGTTATATGTCCTTCGAAGTCGTCCTATATGGTCAGTGCGATCGAATCTGCTATAACTGTAGGCATGTCGGATGCTAGAATGCAAAGTTACAGTGTATACATAGTCGAAGTCGAAGTTTCTCTTTCTGCCTGTTGTGTGCATTATACCCGTTTCGATGTTGTCTCATATGATCGATGCGAACTGATATGCTCCACAGAAATTCATGTGAGATGATAGAAAACAGAGATACAGTGTGCAGACTGATGTTGTCGAAGTATCCACACTTGCCTATTGTACACGTTATATGTCCTTTGAAGTCATTTCATATGGTCAGTGCGATCGTATCCACTATAGCTGTAGGCATGTCAGATTCTAGAATGTGAAGTTACAGTGTGAACATATACAAAGTCAAAGTTTCTTTTCTGCCTATTGTGTGAGTTATATCCGCTTCAATGTCGTCTTTATGATCTTTGCGACCTAATATGCTCCGGAGGTATCCATGTGAGATAATAGAATACAGAGATACAGTTTGCAGATTGATGTTGTCGAAGTATCATCACTTGCCTATAAATGTCGTTATATGTCCTTCACAGTCTTTCTTTATGGTCAGTGCGATCGTATATGTTTCAACTATTGTCATGTCAGATGCTAGAATTTAGAGCCACAGTGTAAACATAGTCGATGCGAAGTTTCTTGTTCTCCCTGTTTATTCGTTATATCCGTTTTGATGTCGTCTCATATGATCTTTGCGAACTGATATGCTCCAGAGGTATCCATGTGAGATGATAGAACACAGGAATACAGTGTGCAGACTGATGTTGTCGAAGTATCTCAACTTGCCCATTGTTCTCGTTATAAGTCCTTCAAAGTCGTCTCATATGGTCAGTGCGATCGTCAGATGCTAGAATGCTAAGTTACAGAGTGAACATAGTCGAAGTCGAAGTTTCTTATTCTGCCTGTTGTATGCATTATACCCGATTCGATGTCAACTCATATGATCGTTGCAAACTTCCATGCTCCAAAGGTATCCATGTGAGATGATAGAATACAGAGATACAGTGTGCAAACTGATGTTGTCGAACTATCTCCACTTGCCTATTGTTCTCGTTATATGTCTTTCGAAGTCGTCTCATTTGGTCAGAGCGATCGTATCTGCTATAGCTTCAGGCATGTCAGATGCTGGAATCCTAAGTTACAGTGTAAACATATTCGAAGTCGAAGTTTCTTGTTCTTCCTGTTGTGTGCGTTACACCGGCTCGATGTCGTCTTATGTGATCGTTGCGAACATATATGCTCCAAAGGTATCTATGTGAGATGATAGAATACAGAGATACGGTATGCGTACTGATGTTGTCGAAGTATCTCCACTTGCCTATTCTTCTCGTTGTATGTCCTTCGAAGGCGTCCTAAATGGTCAGTGCGATCGTATCTGCAATTACTGTAGGCATGTCAAATGCTAGAATGCGAAGGTACAGTGTAAACATAGTCGAAGTCGAAGTATCTTGCTCTCCCTGTTGTAAGCGTTATTTTGATTCTGGAAACACTAGACAATATACAGGGTGTTATTTAAGTACGTGGCCAAACTTGAAGGGGTGATTCTTTGAGTGATTCTAAGACGAAAAGTTCATATAAACATAGGTCTGGTAATGCTTCGTTTTCAAGATACAGGGTGTCAAAATTTTTAAAAGAAATCGTTTTTTTCGTAAATATCTTGATAACCCTTCAACTGATTTCATTGAAATTTGGTAGTGTTATTCAAGGTCGTAAAGGGCTAATTTAACCCTAACTATATCAAAATTATCATGTCCAGTGGCGTCCCGGAAGGCACTGTAACCAATATTTTTGACAGAAAAAATGTGCGCCACTGATTTTTTTGCAATTTTTGTATTTGTTTCACATTGAGCAACTAAAATTTCAACTTTTTCATATCTAGAATTTTTTTCGTATCTTGCTTTGTTTTTGAGAAAAAACATAAAAATCACTTCATTGCACATCCCTGTGACAACACAATAAAACATTTCAACTACCAAACCATCAAAAACTGGGGTCTTACTAATATTTTTGATATAGTTAATGTTGAATTAGCCCTTGACGACCTTGAATAACACTGCCAAATTTCAATAAAATCGGTTGAAGGGTTATTAAGATATTTACGAAAAAAACGATTTCTTTTTAAAATGTTGACACCCTGTATCTTGAAAACGAAGCATTACCGGACCTATGTTTATATGAACTTTTCGTCTTAGAATCACCCAAAGAATCACCCCTTCAAGTTTGGCCACGTACTTAAATAACACCCTGTATATGATGTATATCCGACTCAATATCAAGATTGATAAATTCGAAATTTTGGCGAACACGCCGGTTTACCGACTCTTGATTGTTGGAATCGAAGTTTTTGGTGGATATGAAAAACCATAGTAATGTCATATACTGCTTGAATGGGCATTTAAGATGCTAGAATGCAAAGTTACAAAGTAGACATAGTCGAAGTCGAAGTTTCTTGTTCTGCCTGTTGTGTGCATTATACCCGCTTCGATCTCGTCTCATATGATCATTGCGAACTTATATGCTCCAGAGGTATCTATGTGAGATGATAGCATACAGAGATACAGTGTGCAGACTGATGTTGTCAAAGTATCTTCACTTGCCTATTGTTCTCGTCATATGTCCTTCGCAATCGTCTTAAATGGTCAGTGCGATCGTCAGATGCTGGAATGCAAAGTTACAGAGTTAACATAGTCGAAGTTGAAGTTTCCTGTTCTGCCTGTTGTGTGCGTTATACCCGATTCGATGTCAACTTATATGGTCGTTGCGAACTACCATGCTCCAGAGGTATTCATGTGAGATGATTGAATATAGAGATACAGTGTCGAGACTGATGTTGTCAAAGTATATTCACTTGCCAATTGTTCTCGTTATATGTCCTTCGGAGTCGTCTCATATGGTCAGTGCGATCGTACCTGCTATTGCTGTAGGCATGTCAGATGCGAGAATGCTGAGTCACAGTGTAAACATATTCGAAGTCGAAGTTTCTTGTTCTGCCTATTGTGTGAGTCATAACCGCTTCGATGTCGTCTCATATGATCGTTCCGAACCAATTCGCTTCAAAAGTATCCATGTGAGATGATAGAATACAGAGATACAGTGTGCAGACTGATGTTGTAGAAGTATCCTCACTTGCCTATTTATCTCATTATATGTCCTTCACAGTCTTCCTTTATGGTCAGTGCGATCGTATCTGTTCCATCTGTAGGCATGTCAGATGCTAGAATTCAGAGCCACAGTGTAAACATAGTCGAAGTCGAAGTTTCTTGTTGAAATGGCGCCGACGAAGGTTAACACGCTCTTACCTTCGGGAAGTAAACTTGATTGATATCAAGCTGTGGAATCATATGTGAAATGTGCAAAGTGCAGTGAACATTTCCATCCTAGTTGTTTGAATCAATCAGCACAAAGGAAATCAACAAAATGTCGACCTACCCACACAAACTAGAGAAGCAACTCAATATGACCTGGAGGAAAGTGAAGACTTAAACTCTGTACTAAATGACACACTCATTGAGAAATCAGTGATATTTGAAAACAACCTACTGAAAGAGATCAATAGAGACTTACGTGAAAATGTGAGATATTTGAAAGATATCATATCACAGCTAGAAGAAGACAAAATATATCTTCAGAAAACATTGGACGAGAACGACACGATAAGAAGAGACGAAGGTGAACTCTTCAATAAATTAGCAAAAACAATCAACGCTAACACTAATAAAAACTTGATTTCTATATCTACTGAGATCGCTGAACTCAAACAAAAAATGTGTGGTACTCAAGGAAATAAAAAGGTGACTAATATCATACAGACTGAAACCAATGCCACCAACAAAAACAACACACAAGATAGTGCAGGAAAAGAATGCGACAAACAGGCAAAAGGGAAATCCCAGGACATGATTCAACGGGCGCATCAATCGAATCAATCGAATCATGTTCTAGAGTCTCACCAGAGTAAAATAATTATGACAGATGTTATAGACCTGAATAAAAACAAGGAAGGTTCCGAGAAATCTCACCAACTTTGTAAAAACAACACCAGGACTTTCCAGAGCATACATCCTCAGGAACCTAATGTGAATCAGGATCTGGAATCCCACCAGAAGAAAATCATGACGAATGTTTTGAGTCTCAACGAAAATAAAGAAAACCTGGATAATGGTTTCACAGAAGTACGGAGAAGGAAAAGGAAACTCAATATAGGCTGCGGAGAGGGTGACAATGTGTTTTATGGGAGGAAAAAGAAACAGAGAAAAATTTGGCTATTCATAACCAGGGTACCAGACGAGGTCAATGAAAACAGTATCAAGCAATTCATCGGAACTCGTACGAAAACAGAAGAACATTTATTCGAGACAGATATTGATGTTAAAAAGCTTCAAACACACGATACAAAACCAAATAATCAATCCTTCATAGTAGGGGTTGGACCACACCTACATGATGAAGTCTATGAGGCAGATTTCTGGCCCAGAAAAATCGCGTTCGAAAGATTCGATTTCCGAAAAGGAAAGCAATTTTTAAATTCAAACTCAGCTGCTGACCAGCAAACCCAACCCACCTCTTTTTTAGGCGATTTTCATCACTAAATTGTGATGAAAACGAGAAGAGTGAAAGCAGAGATCCAGAAAATGATGTGCTCAGTGTATTCAACCTCAATGTGCAATGTCTAAAAAACAAAACTAATGAACTTGACGCGTTCTTCAGGAGCAACTGCGAAGATGAAACCTATGATGTGTTGTGTCTGAATGAACACTGGTGTAATGACCATGAGATCAAAAACACACACCTGGATGGTTATACTCTTGCATCCTATTATTGCAGATCTGATTGGATACATGAAGGATCGGTAATATTCGTAAGAAATAATCTTGATTTCTCAATGTTATCAAATATCAATGTTCTATCGAAAAAAAGAGACTGTGAGCTCTCTGCCGTTGAGATTGATCAGTTCAATGTTACGGTAATGTCCATACATAGAGCACCCTCCGGGGACTTTGAAATATTTTGTAACCAAATGGAAAAAGTATTGTCAGCCACGAGCAAACGTTCCAGAATTATTATAACAGGCGACTTCAATGTTCATTTCAATCATGATCATGATAGTAGGAAATCAATATTATGTGACTTACTTGCCTCGTATAATTTTAGGCAAACTATATTTCAAAATACCAGAAAAAACAACTGTCTAGATAATATTTTCATAAACTTCTCTCATGATGACTACTCCTCTCGCACATTCGATCCACTACTATCTGACCACTCTTGTCAAACCATTCATATCCCAATCATCAAGCAAGTCACAACCAAACAGCACACAACATGCAGACCAATAACCACTGCTGGTAAAAATATTTTTTATAATTTAGTAGAGAGTTGCTCTTGGGATTTCATTGATAACAAAGCTTTGGATCTGAATCACAAGTTTGAATTATTCATACAAACTCTGATTGGAGTATATGAAACATCCTTTCCTGAAAAAAAAAAATCACTTGTGCATCTAATAAAATACCAAGCAAAAACTGGTTCAATGATGAATTACGTAGCATGAGAGAAAGGTTAAATTTTCTGGTTGAAATATGCAAAAAAAAATAACACACTAGACAATCGTGAAATAAAAAAGGATTATCGTCTACCTTACAGGAAAGCTATTAAAGAAGCAAAGATAAGGGTGAATGATCATCTCATAAATACTTCAACTAACCCCTCAAAAACAGTCTGGGACTTGATCAACGCGAATAAAACACAAATAAAACCTGAAAGATGCCAACTTACTAGTGATCACTTCAATGAGTACTATGTGAAAGTGGCAGATGATGGAATAATGAGGATCCCTTGCAGTATGTTAAGAATCTTAATCTTCAACAACAAACGAATTCTCACTTCACTGAAGTTAGTTTCAATCAAGTGAGGGACATAATTCATTCACTCAAAAATAGCAGGAGTCGAGATGTTTATGGTTTGATTGTACCTCTGATAAAATTAATCAAAAATATCATAATAATACCTCTCACGAAATTAAAAAATGAAGCTATCAGGCTCAACGAATTCCCAGAGTTATTGAATGTTGCAACTGTTATTCCAATTCTCAAGACGGGAGACGTTAACGAAGCTTCCAACTACAGACCCATATCTCTCCTTCCGATCTTATCGAAAATTTACGAAAAGATATTAAAAATACAACTTGTATCATATCTTGAAACAAATAATATTCTAAATCAAAACCAATATGGATTCAGAGAGAACTTTGGAACCACTGACGCGATTCTCAACCTCATTGATGTGATTTTGGAGTCTTTCGAGAGAGGAACATACTCAGCTTCTGTCTTTTGTGACCTTAGTAAAGCCTTCGACTGTGTATCTCACAGAATATTTGTTGAAAAGTTGCCTAGTTATGGTTTCGGCATTAACAGCATAATGCTTTTAGAAAATTACCTCAATAATCGTAAACAATATGTCTCATTCAATGAAAATATATCACAACAATACGTAATCGAGAATGGAGTACCACAAGGCTCTATTTTAGGGCCTGTGCTATTCCTCATATATATAAACGACTTTCCAATGGCGATGCATAACTTGAGATGTACTCTCTACGCGGATGATACCACTATCTCTACAAGTGGAGTCGAACTAGACAATCTTTTGATACAATGTGGAGATATACAGTCGAAGGCTGCCGCATGGTTTGCAACAAACAAACTAGCTCTGAATCAGACGAAGACAGTAACGATGATATCATCAACGAAAGATCTGACCCACCAATCTGATAACCCGAATTTTGTGAAGTTCCTGGGAATATACATAGATTCAAAACAACTATGGGATGTCCAGGGGAATAACCTAGCAACATCATTAACCAGAACTATATATGCTCTGAGACAACTCACATTCAAAACGTCCAAACATATCCTACTAACAGCATATTTTGCGCTATTCCACTAGAGAATGATATACGGACATGCGACAATTTGGCATAGAATCTACCAGCTCCAAAAAAGAGCTGTTAGAATCGTGGGAGGAGTGGGCTATCGTGAAGATGTTAAGAATATATTCATACAGCAAAAAATACTCACTTTACCTTGTGTCTATATTTTGGAATGTTTAACATTTGTAAAAAATAACCCTGATAGATTTACGTTGCATAAAAAAAATCATGATTACAATACTAGATATAGAAATCACATTTATCCAAATTTATTACGCCTGAACAGATCAAAGACTGGAACCTCTTACTATGGTTTGTTGACCTACAATAACTTGAACGAAGATATTAAAGACTTGAGTATGCCTCGTTTCAGATCTGTAATAAAATCGTTTCTGCTGAAGAATGCTTTTCAAAATATTCAAGATATTATTGATTCCATTAGGAATTTGAAAATCTGATACTAGTTCGGTATGTTCGGTCGGTTGTTTCATAGGGGCGAATTTGATTTTTTCCTGTTTTCGTTCAATTTTCCGGATGAAATTTCTAGTTAATTTGAAGAATTAGAAAATATCTGATATGAGACTATTATGTATTGACGTTCTGAATATATGTATATACTTATGACAAAAACACCTCGTATAGACGCAAGATTTCTGCAGTTCTGATCATGTATACTTTGCACGATCTATCCGAGCGCGCGACTGGTAATTCTAATAAGGAATATCGCTGGATTCGAATGAAAAAGTTGCCTTCATTATAAGATCTCTATGTGACAGATTCCTGTAGTGCTGCCTGGGTATGCTTTCATGATATATTAGATCACCTGGAAGATGATCCTCACGTTGCTAACCCTTAGTGTCTCTAACCCAAACATTGCGAGTTTTGGTGGACAGTTGTTCAACATAGTTCACGAACCAACCAGAATACTTCCTATGATGTAACACAGAGCTGTTACATGAGTTCTGGTAAAGAGTTGTTTGACATATTCCACGAACCAACCACGGAGTTTTAGTAAAGATTTTTTCGATATATTCCAAGGTGGACGGTGAAAGGATCTTTTTTCTTTGTTGTTTGATGCAAAATGTTATGATACCTATAATATCATTTTTATTGCCGCCTCTGAGTATGATGATATCTAGAGAATTTCTAGAATCTGCATATAGGTCTATAAAGAATCTTTCTTGTAGAGTAGTTGACAGATAAATGTTATTGTTTGATACATTTCACGGTTTCTTTCTTTGGTGAAGCACAAAATAGTTTCACGAGTTTTGGTCGAGAGTTGTTCGACATATTTGTCTAATATATGTTTGCTGGTCATGCCTGAAGTAGGCAGTTCTTGCAGCGAGTTTCTCTGTATATTTTCTCATTGTCGCCCTGTATATTGCTCGAAATCAACAGTCAGAGGAGTCATCTATCATATGTTGCCTGTCTAATATGTTTGAATGATGTGTCTCGTTTGCTTTTGACGAGGTTCGTGGTACCATGAAGTACTGAAAGTATATTTAGTATACATCGTGTGTACTGAATATGAGCGTTCGCTTTCGGTGGAACAATGAACCCAAACTGATCAGGCGGAAACGTAACTCGCGGTTTTTCGTTATCAAACCATCTTATACAGCGTCTGCATTTATTGTCGAATTCCATAATTTCCCTTTCAACATGTTTCTCTATCTGACCAATTGAATTTTTTTTTATTACCCTGTGTGCACATTTCTTCTTATAATAGGTGTGTTAATATGTCTCATGATTATGCACCGCTCTCAGTTTGCCCGGTCATCAATTAACGTTAATTAATATCAATTGAGACCTGTAACAGGATTCCTAATATATATCTTATATCGGGACTTGAAAAAATTTAATCAGAAATAATACTTATCCAATTTTTCTCTTCCAGAAGAGAGGCAATTTTGAGTACCAATGTATAGAGACTTTTCCGTTGGTCGTCTTGATTTCTATCGAATTTCGAGCGAGAAACATACACTTGTCACTCACTTCTTTTTTGTTCAATGAACTTAGAATTATTTCGCGTCATGACGTCGTACTGATTTTTTTGTTTTTCGTGATACGGTGTTCGGACTTTCTCCATGTGGTAGGCCTTTGCGAAAGTCGACATGGGCGTTGGTGTGTTCTTTGATTTAGATTTCCGAT